TCCGTCTGTTCCTTTGTCTGTCTGTCCATCTATCTGTCCGTGTGAACGATAACTTTGTTTAGAAATGTTCGATCGCTTTTACATCTCCGTTAGTTATGAACTGAATTGCATGAAATTCAATATGGGCATATAATAGATTTAGCCATATGATACGCAATGCCAAAAGTTGATCGAATCGATTCAAAATTCACAGTGCCCTTTTCGCATCTCGACCATTTATAAACCGAATTGCAAACTTTTTTACTTATAAAAGTATTTGAATGAAATTTGATACATAGGCACTTGGAATAAAGGAAAATCAAACGCCAATTTCAAAATTTGGTTTTGCGCATGCGCAGTGCCAACTTTTTTATTTATGGAAGAATTTAAACGAAATTTGATACATAGGCACTTGGGATAAAGGAAAATCAAACGCCAATTTCAAAATTTGGTTTTGCGCATGCGCAGTGCCAACTTTTTTATTTATGGAAGAATTTAAACGAAATTTGATACATAGGCACTTGGAATAAAGGAAAATCTAGCGCCAGTTTCAAAATTTTATTTTGCGCATGCGCAGTGCCAACTTTTTTTTATCTATGGAAGCATTTAAGTGAAATTTGATACTTAGGCGCTTGGAACAAAGGAAAATCTAACATTAGTTTTAAAATTTAGGTTTGCGCATGCGCAGTTCCAACTTCCTTATTTAGAAAAGCATTGAAATGAAATTCTTCTCATAAACTGAAATTGAAGTAGCACGTCCAAAATGGATTGCCCATGTGCAACGCTATCTTTCATATTTGTGGCCGGATTTTTACGATTTTAACAGAAGTTGCATCTTACAAATGGGAAATGAATGCAAGTGGAAATGCGCTTTATGTAAATCGTTTACGATTACTTTTTAACTTTTTAAGATTTGAACCATACGCTACACTGACCTACTCGAAAAATACACTTGCCTAGATGTACCTTATTGCAAAACACGAACCTCAAACTTTCCGCAGAACCCCATGAGATGTTCTGTCTGAAAACCTTAGTCTGAAACGTAACTTTCATTGGGTACAAAGTTGCCACATTTACACAAAGCTAGAATAGAATGATACAGTAGCCTTGTGGCAGAAATGACACGTACAAAATTTGACACAGATGTATCACAGGGGAATAATTTAAATTTTTATTTTAGAAATGTGCTGCCGCGACTATGTTATGTGTATATTTGCGGCAATTTGGTCATTTGTAAGTGAAAATAGGAGATCTAAAATGTAGGTAATAGGCGCCACCTTTTTAGGTCCAAACGATACTACATCTAGCGTGGTGTATTTGGGCGGTAAATTTTTACAATTGTCATTATGGAATTACCAGAAACACGTTTAAATTCCTTTGGTACCTTACGTACTTCTACAGCGGTAAGTAAATAATTCTAGATCCAGTGAATAAGGTAGGTACCTACCTTTTGTGTGTTCACTCGTGCTTCAGTTATGAAATTGTTAGAAATGGATAGAGGGCACCTTAATAACACGTTTAGAATATAAAAATTTGCGGAAGAAGGCCTAAATTTTCCACAATCTTAATTACACGTTCACTGTTGAGTTGATTTATTGTATGCAGTTAGTTGTTGAAACGGTTTGCGTGAAGGGAAGGGTGTATTGTGGAGTGGAGTATTGGGAAGCTTGTTCTGGGAGAATAGTTGGGCAATTCGCACTGAGCCTCCTGTAAATTACCGCAGGGTGTTTTATTTTTAAGGGAATTTGCGCCTAAAGGTGAGATAGAGTTAAGCTAACTGTAAATTAACGCAGGGTGGTTTTATTAATCGAGAGCTTGTATTACTTTCGGAGAAGTTTCGTGCGAATATGGTGAAGTAAAGTTGTACACGCGCTAATTAAAGCTTAGGTCATCTATAATTTCAAGGGATAAGTGGCGAATTAGAAACTATTACCGTAAATACGAACAATGGTGTGAGTATTACGTTGTAATTCATCGCACAATTTCTTATGATAAATTGTCGCCGATAATTAAACTTCCATAAAATAATCATAACCATGTTACTTTTAATGAAGCAATCGCCAGTATAGGAAGAGAGCTCCGTTCCAACGCTTCCTGCGATTCACTCTAAAACAAAGGAAAAAAATACGGATTGCTTGAGGAGCCAAAATCCTTGTATTATGAGCCACACACTCCATATAAAACGAACAGAAAAGTCTTGAAAAGCACAATAAACAAGTGGTTCAATAAAATGGCCGCTACTTACGTAATTGAACATTTAATTAAATCCTCTACAATCAGAGATAAGTGTGTAGACTCGTGCCAAAATTACTTCGAGAATTTCAGAATATTCGGTTACTCGCCATAAAATAATAATAATGATACACCCTAATTGAATTTTTAGCAATGAACACAACTGTCACGTTTTATTTAAATTCGATATTGAAGTTCAATATTCTTACGCCATCTAGATATCTTCTTTGTAATCCATTAGTTTAAAGATGTAAGTTAGTTTTGTAGTAGAGTTCTTTATTTTCGCTGTGTGTAACATTACAATAGTTCTTTGTTTTCCCGACGGAGGTCGTGCAGAGTTTTCTTTAATTTATTTCAGCGCACGCACTTTTTGGTACAAAACACATTCAACCGTTACTTGTAGAAGAACGTTTACTCCATAGTTTTATAAGTTTAGTGAAGTTTTTCTCTTGGTATTTTGATTTCAACACTTTGCTGACGCATTTGCGGATCTATTCTAGTTCTAAGGCCGTTTTCGGCATATACCAAAAAATACGCATTGCCCTTGAGCTTGACTTTGAACAGTAATTATTTAGGCTTCTTACATCTGGCTTACTCTTTTCTTTATTATTACCTACTTGATGGTTGCTTTCTACGTCGATATTCCTGAGTCAAAACCGAATAATTTTGGATTTTCTCAATATTGCTAAAGGAAAATTCCCACCGCCATTCTATCATATCAACAACGACGCGACGGATGTTTCTACCTTACCGGCAGATTTCAGTGAAACCAAACACATGATCTGCCTACAATAATGACCTGTGATCTACTTACGTGAATTTTGTTTACCTATCCTTCAGATTAGCTGTGTTATTTAACATATTAGCTACCGTTTCTTTGTAAATTAGTTTTAGAAGTTACCGAGACTTGGTCCGAGACCGATATTTACAATGTTTTAGTCACGTTATTTGTTTTACTCTTGCTATTCGTAATAGTTATTTACCTAACAAGTTCGGTAAGTTAATTTTCCCGCATGAGCACTTTGTTTGCAGCACGACCGTAGGGAGTGCTGCATTTAGTGCGAATGCGGGAAAATTCTTTCCGAAAGAGTTAGGTACAATATTTTTTGTAACGAATTGCGTAAAAAAAGGTCAAAATTACTAAAGTTTTGTAAATTAGCTTTTTTTAAATCATGAGTTGGTAACACAATCATATGTTTGGTTGGTAACATAATTTTGTAACTACCCACTTTTAATAATGCACTGGTCACATTTAAAACTTCCACATCTTTGGTTAATACATATTTTGCCTTTGCAATGAGTGCTACTGGTCACGGCATTGCATCGTTTGCACTGAATATCTTGAGTTGCGTAAATACACTCGTTACATTTAAAATCCTTGGAAGCTTTGTGTGTTAATATGTGCTTTCTTAAACTGCATATGCGAATAGTTGCAGAATATCACTGGTCACATTTTAAGACGTTTTAACAATAAATTTTACTTTTTCTTGAGTTCCAATTCTGAAAAATAATTTGATTGCGTTATAAGTTCTTGTTTATATATTTACGTAAAACTTAGTGTACGTCTGTTTCCGATTAATCGCACTAAATACCCTCAACCAACGGTTTAATTGATTTTACAGCAGATGACAGTTAAAATCATGACATGACGTTCGTTGACTTCAATAAGTACTACCAACCGAAGAACGCGCATAACCCCTTCTCTCCAGCGGAAACTAAAAAACACCGCGATGCGGGAAAGTCGTTTTCCCGTGCATCGAGGATGCTTGGAAACATTATCTTTCCATTCAATGAGTACAAAAAGTATTTTTTCTCCAACCACCTGAATAAGACGCTATTTTGTGACAGTGTTCGGTACGTAAAATTGACGTTTTGCGGATTAATCGTTTTCACCATGGCAACTGTACAAAAAGTAGATACTTTTGGTCCTAGTACCAAAAAGAAATTGACCTTGAAAGTTGGCCAATTAAAAAATTACAATCACGGAGATATGTCACATTGACATCGTTTTACATTGCAGGTTATAAGATATTTCTATACATACAAATCAAATCTTTTTGCATATAAATGCAAATAATGATGTCACCTATACGTATGTACATGTATTGAAAATGATTTACGCTCGCTATTTTTATTTAAACCATGTGTAACGTAATTTACATATTCGATGAACGTAATTTTAATACGTATACAACCCGCCGTCGCGCGTAACGCCATCTACTTCAGACCCCTTGCACTATTATCTGTCATTTTGAATTTAAAATTTGAAAAAGTTAATTGCAATTAATTTTAATTAAAAAACTGTACGGTAAGTTTTTTATTTCAATACAAAATATAACAATATTAATTGTGTATACAATAAAATGACTGAAACTGATAGCGACATGGATTGCACTCCGCCAGAGATTATAGAAACGGCAGAACATGCTACCTCAAGATTTGCTCCCTACAAAGTCGCGAGAGGTGAGAAGTAAGAAGTCAGAACGAATAGGTTATAAGTTAACCTAAAAACTAGAGTGGCATGACACGTGAGGACAAGAAAGCAGAAGTTCTTATACTATAGTAGTGAAACTGTGACTGAATCTAAATTCGAATATAATTTGAAGTAAAGGGGGTTGGAGAAAAAATTTTATGTTTTATTCGTACAAAAAATGCGTTTTCGGGACTCGGAAGGTTGCTGGACTCCGCTAACGCGTCGTCCAGCAACTATCTTCCTCGTCCCGAAAACTGACATTTTTTGTACTAATGAAACAAATAACTATTTCCGTATTACCGTTCATGCTTTTGTATAGGTATATATTATATTACTGATTGTAGGTACGAGAAATTCGTGGCCGAACCAAAACTTTGTTTTTGTTAATGTAGTCATTCGAATTAGGTAGTGATTCTTTTTGAGTATTAATTTGAGTTCTGGTATACGATTGCCTTCTTGTCAGACGTTAGGATTTTTTCCGCAATATTTTATGTTCCGCGCTATTCACTACCCCTTTTAATTGTTTAATTTAAATATTGATATTGCAGATCTATATATTACAGTGTCCTATTTGTAATACTTTTGAGATCATTACCCTCGATTGTGACGTCAATTATTGTTCTATCCCTAATAAGTATTTTAATTCTTTAGCTTTTCAAGACCAGAACAAGGATATCTTAATCTGCTTTGTTTCCTCCTTTTTGTAAGTATTGTCTCCTATCTTTTGAAAGTGACGGCTATTCGGTTTACTTTTACTATATTTCCCTCTTTCTTTATTTTTGCTAGTGTACAAGAACCCCGATATTCACCCCGCCCCACCTCTACTTTGCCTGAGCTTACCGTGTGTATACCTCAAGGTAATTTTGTTACTTTTTCCCAAAGTAAACACAACTACTCTTAGAACGTGCCGATCAACAAATACTCGCAAGGGAGAAGGAAGAAAATAAAAAAAGTAAACTAGCATGCGCATTCTTTACTTTTAAAAATGCACCAATAAAAATTCGTCAAGCGGGAAACCAAATACAATTTTTACAAAATTTCTACCCCTCCCCCCTTTTGAAAAATCTCGGTACTTGAAACATAATCGGGAGGGGAAGTGAATAAAATGCAGAATTTTGTGCGTAAGAAAAGACAAGACCAAATAGATACTTATATTACGCGCACATCAACACAATAACAGGGAAACCTTCTGCGGGACAAAAACCCCGCCATAGAGCCCATACAAATACATGAAATAAATCAACTACGACAACAAAAAGCAAAAGGGTAAAGGTACAAATAAAACATCTTAAATTGTACGATAAAAATAGGGTAATCAAATCATGTGCAGTTAAATTAATTCATAAAAACAACACATGCATTACCTTCTCCACTCCTCCCCTTATGATTGTATGTGACATAGATTTTTTTAAAGGAAACAACCCTGATCCATTTGTCCACTCACATAATGATGGGCACTTTCCATATCTCAAACTATTAGTCCTAGGCAAACCGTACATGTGCTATTTTTCAACAGATTCTTGCGTCAATGTCACTGTTTTGGATGTAATTGACTACAGATACTTGGGAAACGAAACTGCGAATCGAGCACTGAACCTGCCCTTCCCGCCACAATCCGCCGCAGCAGATAGAACCGCAAACATATTTTCGACATACATCGTCATTGACGCGCTGTGGATGGTTACTGCCCTAAACCTGTTAAGTATGTCCTGACTTGTACCATCGTCACAATGTAACAACTTTTTGGATCAGTTGCGACACTCTGTCGTATAAGAAACCAGTGGGCGCTGCTAATGCATTTTCCATGGCCGTCTGTGTTACTTATTCTACTCTTTTTTGATGGAGTCTGCGCTGCGTGGTACGGAATTGACGTTTCACTTACTTCGGTAGGTACCGCGTCCAGAAGCTCTTGCTGATCACCATTTTCAGGACTTCCAGAGCTGGGCCATGTTCATAGGCATACCCAATCAAGACCTACTGGACGAGATCAATATCAAGCTGTACGCTGTGTCTATGGTTTATCCATCAATCCTCATGATGGTGATATTCTCCCGATTGTTCATAATATGGTTCGTTAACTTATTTTTATTCTTTCGTATCGTTCAGGCGTCTGTCAACGCATATCAAGATTTCGATGACGATGCGAGTATCAGTATAGAGAGTAAGCGTTTGGGTCGTTAACCGTTTGGAATACTAAACATTTACTTAGGCAGATGTTACTAAAGATAATCATGCGCAATATCTACTTGACGATGACGGAACGTATAAAGAAGAGATCGTAGAACCACCAGCAAATGAGAAAGGGAAGCGAAGAAAAATTGCCTTCAAAAGAAGAGCATTTTTTAAACGCAAGGCTAAATCACTGTGTGTACCGAAAGACAACATCTTTTCCTCGGGGTGAGAAATTTCGCTTTATTCTTTCATTAATCACATTGTTTGCAGATGCGTGTCTGAGGTGTTTTACTTATAGAGAAATCCATCGTGATTTTTAGTGCAGAAACAAATGACTAAACTGATGCCATTCTTTCGTCTCTCTTCAGTTGTATGTAAAATAGATGGACAATACTTGCTTCATTTCACATAGAAAACGCTACCACAACATCACGTGTAAGGTACTTACTGGTACAAGGTCAGTGATTTCTAGACAGAATTGTAGCTAAGATTACAGAAAATCAATAAATGTGAATTTTTGAAAATGCGTTATGGGTTTTGGTTTTTTCATTGACTTCCTGTGGATTATACTTCTAAGAAAGAAAAGTTTACAAAGCTTTTCTGGACATATTACCCCGCACGCAGGCGGTCTACAATTAAAATAAGAAATCTTAAAATTAGTACAGTGTTCCCTCTCAATAATCTGCTCGTACAAGGTTTGAGATATTAGGCGCACTTAATTCATACACAAACGCTGACTGCTTCTGAACTTCACTTTGACTTAGATGACCAACAAAACTGGCTTGATGAATAAAATGACAAATTTCTGGTGCCCTGTTCGGACGGTAGAAACTTTTAACTTTTAATAAGAACCTCAACGAAAGGCCTCGCGGTACTACAACTGCTTCCCTTTTCCAGGTTTTAAATCGGTCAAAACATTCTCAAAATAGAATGTTAAAACCACCTGGTCGCGGTGGAATCGTTTCTTTATTAACAAAACGAGCGCTTCATAATATCGGTCCTTTGCGTGCCTATTGCGCATGCACAGTTCTATTTTTATTGCGGTCATTTTGTTCGCTTGTATTAGAAGAGGAAGCTACCACAAAAAATTTGATTAAATTGCTCCACAAATAAGGAAGTTGTCTATTGCGCATGCGTGGTTTTGGAGAGAAATTATAAACTGTGACTTATCGATCGTACTTGCATTGGCGTACATTTCGCTTAGAAAATATTTGCATATGATTAGTTATTCGCCTCAATGCACCCTGCCACCACAACTCGCTTATAAATTCATATATGAAGTGTCTTTCGCCACAACATGCGCCTAGGGCTCGTGCTGTTATGGCCACAGTATTTCCTGGTATCTGTCCATGTAGTCAGGATGTGGGGTCGGCGACATCTGGACGCCATCATACAAATATGAAAAACTTAACGCGAGTAGTTGTCGAAATTGTCTTTTAAGCTTTGCGGTTGGTAAAAATCATTGAGGATACTTTTTAACGCCAAGTATATAGCAACATACGACCTAAGTATATTGTCGAGGTTTAATATTAATACGTAGATTTGCGCTTGAAATATGCATACTGTACATTCTAAAGACGAAGTGAATCTATATCTATACTTAAAAAGCGTTCACAACAAGGGCGTAGCCAAGGGGGTTGCTGAAGGTGCTCTAGCACCCCTCGAAAGAGTCGTCAAACTATGTTTTTAACAATAACTAACTGAGGTTACACTACACTTTTTTGCACACCAATGCCGAGCGAGCCGAAGGCGAGTTCGGCATAGCTCGAGCCCTCCCTTAGACTCGCCTCTCTACGTCCACGGTGGCAAACGACATTTACCAACGGCCAAACACGCACTACACTTTTTCAATCATACATCCAACCTAATAAAAAACGGTATAAAATAGTGATTCACTATACCATTATATTCCACCCAAAATACTTGTAAGTTTATTAAGTGGATCTAGATCTAGACCAACCTATTGCTGCGTACCTACACTAGAAGATAATACAGGGTCCGGCAATGAAACGGGAAGATTTGGGGTGGGGCTTGCAGCGGGCGGTGAAGTGGTAGGGAGGACAGTCACAGACCTGTCGGGACCCTAGTGGCTTGCCATTTAGTCTACAATGGAGCGTTGGACGGGTGAGCATCGCGGTTACGCAATTAAGGCTTATTACCAAAATGGCGAGAGTTTAATGCAAACGCGTCGAGATGTTAGACGGCATTTTAACATACCGCGTAACCAACCGGTTCCGTCAGACCATGCGATTCGAATGTGGCTAAACAACCTCGAGCAAACTGGATCGACGTCTAGAGAAAGAGGTGGTAGTGCCAGAAGGATTCGAATCCCTGAAAATATTGAACGTGTTCGACTCCATGAATGCATACGTGTCAACGGAGGCCATTTGACAGATGTAATTTTCAAAAAATAATGTTTTTTAACATTGTATATCAAATGGCTACTCTTTTATTTCCCAGTATGGTATTACTAATTACAAAAAAAATATTTTTTCGATAATAAAATTATTTACGAAATCTTCCCGTTTCATTGCCGAACTCTGTACTACAAGTGCTTAATTAGTCATAAAATAGTGTTGCCCAAATACGCTTAGGTACCTACCTACTTCAGATCTTATCAGAATATGAATTTTTCTTTGACGTATTTCGTGACGCCATGTCTCATGGTCCAAAAGTACAAAATTTCTATTTGGATAGACTAGAACCCTCACAAATATCTGCGAACGTGTAAAATAATTGTCGATTTCCTAGGTGTCGCTATGCGTTTTATAAATTGATAGGCTCGATTCGATTGTGCTATCTATTTGATACTAAGTGTAGATTGTGAGATGTAATTTAGACAATGGACTGAGGTGGCACATTTGAAGCCGTTCGTCTCAAAGAAAGATGTCGTTAAACCAATCTGGCAACACACTAACAGCGTTTGCAGCTGGCCTAGGAATTGTAAGTTAAAATTTTCAATACTTAGTTACTCATATATCTATATCATTTCGTATGGCTAAGAAACTTTTTTAAACAATTGATTAGCCTGATTGTGTAATTTGGTAACGTACAATGTCTTTTAGTTTCAAGGGCTGGTATGGACGATTCTGGCAGTACTAGGTATAGTAGCCCGTTTTGACCACGATCCAAACTGGACTCCCACCCATTCGCAAACATTAAATAAATTCTTGGTTGGACTAATCCAGAGTAAGTATATAATATAGTCGATTTTATACAATGAGCGGCTAAAATATGGAACAAATTCATTTAAAAATCGGGTGTTGGATTTAAAAAAAATGCTCGCACACTTGTACCTCCATTTTTTGCATAGAGATCAAATTACCAAACTTTTTTTATGAAAAAATCTTGTGGAAAGTGTTACTTTTCTTCACAGTACATTGCGAATGGCATTGATATTACTCAATTATGGGTTATTAAGGATCACTATGCAAAAAGTATCACTTTCAAACCTAGTTGTACAAATAACATCTCTTGCACTAAAGAGAAAATATACAGGGTGCGTCAAAAAATAGATTTTGATACCAAAGTTGATTTTTAGAAATGGAACAGTATTTTTAAAATTTTCGAAGTGCAAAGGGTTATTTTGGAATATTTTCTGTACGAGTCTACTGTATACTTTGTAGAGAATTGGTCACAACATAATCGATGTCTATGGTACCCTCCTTATAAGTATTTTTTTTATCTTTTAGATGATGGGTCCTTTACTACATTGAACGGCCTAGGATTGTTTATAGTCGCAATTGTGTACCTCATCATATCGGTCTTTTGGGTTATTCTGTCATCAATGTTATTTATTAGTAAGTAACCATTGTACAACCAATATGTACTTTTTATAACACTGACATTTTAAACCGTTTGTAAGATTCATTTAAACTCGCTTCTTAAGTTATTTATATAAAATTCATTGTTTCCTATAATTTTTCGTCCTAATGTTGTTGATTCTATTACCATGGTTACTACCTACGCCAGTCTGGAGAAACATTTTTCTCTCATGATAAAATATTAGTAAAAGACGAATTCGGATAAAATATGCTTCAGTGTTATAAAAAATGTTGAAGATAGCACGGTGTTTTATAGTTTAAAAGATTTTTCCCGTTAACACCTCGCTCTCTTCGGTCGCTCGGATTTAAATGGACATCGTCCTTCAAAGTACCTATAAAACACCTAATTATCTGAATAAATTTACTTATTCGTTTCACTTTATAGGTATAAAGGCACAACGTCCCAACTATTCGAACAAAGTAAGAGCGGGATGGGGAGTGCTAACACTAGTCATATGCATTTATGACATGATCGTAGCAGCAATGTTGGGAGATAATTACAGAAAATATCTTGAAGTGTACAACTACAATCATAACGCTGGCTATCTATACATACTTATTGGGTATGGTACTTTGTTTACTCTTGCGGCTCGAGGATACGTCTTATGGATTATTAATTTAGTCCTTTCGACCTTAATGTTAATTAGCCCTAATCAAAAGACGAAGGTAGGTGTTACTGCTGCCTACACAATAGCTTATCGGATTCGTTTTAGGCAAACACTGACGTCTACTACTCAAATACGATCGATGGCAGGTAATCAATCATCAATGACTGATTACCTTTCGAAATAACTAATCATCGACCTCGTTACAGAAATCATCCAGGTCATACCAACCGTGCCTACGGCTGGGAACGCGAGGAACCAAGGTTCGATTCAAGACCGCCATCCGGCAACCACAACTATCCGGGAGGAGACAATTCCCGGATGGAAGCAGATCGTGTCGCTGGATTGGGAAAGCAGGATCCTAGAAGTTATCCGAAGAATGTTTTACCTCCGAAACCGCCCGCTAATTACCGATATGCCTCACCGAACGTACCTCAACCTGATTACTCCCCTCCGCATCAACAATCACCGCCTCCTCCCAACTCCATGTTTAACCGTAATGAAAGGTATTAAAAATTACTAACTGTCGACTTTGATTAAAATGAAATACTACACGGGTATATGATTATTTTCTTAAGTACTTGGCTATATTTTGTTATTGTTTTTGTTTATTTATTTAGAAGAAATACAAAAAGAGTTGCAGAATCATCGATGACGGTTATAGTTTTCTCTAAGACCCTGGTGTAGTGGGTTGAGTAAAGTTTTTGCCATTTGAGTATGTAGTACCTACGATGGGCAGTGACCCAAACAAAATTCGTAAATGGCGGGTTAAGATCTTGAAGAACCAATTATTCCAAATCCAAGTGAATATACCATGACTTTGTAAACATGTTAATACCACGGTTCCGAAGCAGAGAAGCGGTTTGAATAAAAACAGGTATTTGTACAAGGTGATTCATTGTTGGTGCATAAAACCTTTTGGAGTAGCCTTTGCTCTGTATTTTTATTTAAATTCAAAATTTACATGATATCCTTACGCCATCTCGGTATCTTCTTTGTAATCCACTAGTTGAGATGTAAGTTAGTTTTGTAAAAGAGTTCATTTACCTAGTTCTGTGTTTTCGCGTTATAGGTTTCTTATTGCTATAGTTATTAGTGTCGCGCAGTATTTTCCATGCTATTTCATCTTCTTTAGGTTTATCTTGCCCACCCAGTTGTATTTCTCTTCCTCTTTAGTAAAGTCTCTGCTCTAGAACTGATTAGATGCAAAAGGTCTCTTGGTAACCGTTACTCTTTCTGACTTCGCGTCTGCCTGAAAAGGTCTTTACCATAATTATCTTTGCAGTGGTTTCTCCCTTTCTCTTGATGTCTTGGTGACTCCATCGTACCGTTTTTACGGATTAGTATTTTGCATTTAAACAATTCGAGGCATGTTAGATTATGACGCATTATTCTTTTTTTATTACGTACATATTTTTAGGGTTTGAACTTTCGCTCAAATTTTATCTTTAACTTTCCTCACCTTTTTCTTACCTACAGGTTTTCTTTTACATTTCTCATCATTATATATTTTGGATAACCTTTTGCGTTTGACCGACTTGGATATTTTAGCATTACCCACGCAGTACGTAGATGATTTAGCAGTTAGCATATTATCTTGTCTATGTTTTGAATTGATTAGGTTGCATTGGTATTGAATAGAAATTTAGTTTGTGTACCGTAAAGTATTTTTCACTTTTATGCTGTTATACCCGGACAGTAAGGATCAAAATGTTGCGTTTGCTAGTGTAAAGTCATTCCAATTATTGATTCTATTTGAGTATTAATTACATTTAATATCCTACTTAGTGTCAGACGTTAGCATTGCTATTTCGCAATACTTTATGTGCAGCGCGATTCAATACCCCTTTTGTTTCTTTGTGGTGTTGTCTGTTACAGATTTGCAGAACGCACCATTCTGAGCTCACAAGGTTGCGACCCGAAGTTCAAAGGTAAACTTTTTGTCGATTCCCTGATTTAACTCTTGATTACATATTGGTTTTCGATACAATCGAATTGCTTGAGATTCACATACCTTGTTTCTACGTAAGTCTGTTTTGATACTAATATTTTCTCTGACTACGTGCTGATCCCGCTTTACTAAAAATCAATTTAAATTCAACCATTGACAAAGCAGATTTATACAGGGTGTTACATATAAGTATGTAAAAAAATTTGGGTGGTAGAGGGGATCAAAACAAGCACTTTTTTCCAAATAAACCGAGGGTCCAACGTGTTTCGTTTGGGGGCTACCCCCACAAAAGTGGTGAAATTTGCATTTCTTCTTTAATTTTTCTCTCAGCAACCATAAGAGTTAGAAAGACTGGTGCAGAGCTAGGTCGAGCGTTCTAAAGAACAGTTAGAGCGCTCCAATTGTTTCAAAAATGCTCGCAAGCATCGAGCTGTTTTGCAAAGCGAAACCGGTTGCGAGTTCCGAACACTTCTAAAGTGCCCGAGTGTATCGCGAGCGCTCGGGAAAAGTGCTCGTGACCGGAAAAAACGCTTGCGAGCGATTCGCTTTGGGGCGCTTCTTCAAGCGAAACGCTCGCAAGCAGTACCCAGCTCTGGACTGGTGGTGAATAGGTTCTCAGATATGCCCTTTCCGATTCTTCAAAAAAAATATTCAAAATTTTTACCGCGAAATGGTGCACCCCTAAGTGAGGGTGCGAAAAAAATTCTGATTTCGACGATCTGGTGGTTTTTGAACATGAAAATCACGAATATGAAATTAGTTTTTGAAAATTCCAAAAAAAAGTCCATTGCAATTCTTGGTCGGACAACGAAAATGGAGATAATTCCACGAAATTCGTTGTGTACATACTTGATGAGTTAAGGACCAAAATTGTCGAACTGTTCTTTAAAAATCACTTTTCAAACAAAAGTTATATCTATTCATTAGAAGATTGGACCTTTGGTTACAAAGTGTCCCCCGCCTACTAGCGAGTGATCAAATTTCGCATGTAGTTAATTGAAAATGTCGCAAACAGGTAACAAAAAAATATCGATTAAAGTCGTTAGGTAAGTGTTGTCAATCTTCAACGCCCAAATGTGCCCGGCGCTGCTTCTCCAAGGGTCCGTTACGCTACAGTCTAATCGACCCTGTTCGACTAAACAATCAATACAGTAAAATGTTATCTCTAACTAACTGTGCACCTCAACAAAGTATACTGTGGGATGCCCCAAACTTAGCAACATCCTGTGAATATGATTGTCAATACGAAGCACCCTATACACATCATGTTAGTTACAAAAGGCTGCCAACCGAAATCTGGTGGGATTATAGAAAAGGGAAAGAGAGCGAAGATGAGACGGATGGAATTTCTCGGAAGACAACATCTGTTTGCAATTTTCAGCAGCTACAGTTCAGAGATTTCCTAGAAATGCGTGAAATGAAGAGAATGAGCGGTTTTCGGGTGGATTTTAGGGGTGTTAAGGGAACGTAAATGCAGATTATAACTCTTTACCGATCGATCACTTGTATTATGTTGCTGGTGTTGGCAATTATGTTTCATTGTCAGTAGGGCCCATGTGTCCGTTTTGTACATATTTGCGTGTTCCTATAATTGTGCACCGCGCTTTTCAGTCACTCTCCGGCCTCTTTGGCGTTGGTTCACTTATTTCATTGCCTTTTGTTATATTTGTTTATTGTGCTGTGACCTGTGACAAGCTTGAGTAGCCGAGAGGGAAGTGTGCGTGTTTAGGGGATCGAGTTATTCAAGGTTATACGGGCCTTGGAGAATCAAACACTAACATTTTCACTCGTTCCGAAACCAAAGCAACTGCAGCTCACGTCTACAGGCACGCCACTGGGCGTGAGTAATCCTACCGTCCGGCGAGGCACATTTAATATTTCTTAGTTTTGTATGTTGGGGGAATGGCTCGATTCCATTTTGATTACTCATAGCTTGTCTGCTTTACGTAGTATTTATCCCTGTTTGTGTTAGAGAGTTTTACTCTCTCGAGGGCTCTAAAGTGCTGTAGGCTTTGACATGTACGTTTTTGAAGACTGCGACGGAGAGTTTCTTGGGTACGATTTTCTCTCACAAGCTCTAGGGGATCGTGCCATTAGTCAGCTATTGCTTTTGGTGTTCCTTACCCATAAACGCCTTCGGCTCCTGTTTAGAACCCAGTTACTACACAGCGTAGGTGTCCTACATGACGATCACGATTTGAGTGTACTCGGGGAGGCCACCGAGTTACAAATTCACGCGGGAAACTTAAGCGAGAATATTCAAATATTTCGGTGCAACTTGAAGTTGATGTTAGCCCGCCAAAATACTTGGAGGCTAAGCTCATTACAACTGGGACCATTACTCTTCTTGCTATGCATTAATGACATACCAGATAACGTATCTGACAATATTGACAGACTTTTTCCGATGCAAGTAAAAGACATACTATCAAACAAGGCGACAGAGAGGCAGAAGAAGACCACCCTAAAAAAGTGAGCACAGACGAGATAAAAGAAGCTGCTAGGAAGATGCCAAGGAAGAAGGCACCCGGGCCAGACGGGCTCCCATCAGAATTTGTGTCTAAAGTAGCCGGCGAGAAACCGGACTGGTTCTCTGGCGTATTTGCTCAAGTGCTAACCACAGGAGAATACCCAGAGATGCGGAAGGAAGCGACGGTAGTCCTTATTCCAAAAAAAGACCCGGGGTCAATGAGGCCCACATCCCTAATAAGCCATCTGAGAAAACTGCTAGAAAGAGTTCTGGTCGAGAGAATAGAGAAATACTCTAATCTATCCGCAGGACAGTATGGTTTCAGGAAAGGAAGAGGTACAAGAGAGGCACTAAGTAAAATTAAAGACATAGCGCAAAAAGCCCTGAGACGCTCCCGGTACACTAGGGAGGTGAAAATTATTGACTCCCTAGAAGTACAAAATGCTTTCAACTCGATCCCGACGAAGGTCATCATGGAAGAACTGGGAAGAAAGGGTATATCTGGCCACTTGAGGAGAGTTGTGTATAGTTATCTCAATGACAGGAAGAACGTCGGAAAATTACCGTTTGGAAAGAGTTACCTTTTTGTGTCCAACGCAGGAGTGCCATAAGTAAAACCAAGGCAGCCCTGGTCGCCGGGAGAAGGAGACTTCCGGAGGTTAACCTGATGGTAGACCATACGAGAGTACCACTAGAAAAGTCAATAGAGATATTAGGATTGAAGTTAGACAGGAGCCTAACCTTCATACAGCACGCAGAGAAAGCGGTAGAAAGCCAGTAGAATGGCGGAGAAGTTAAATCGACTGATATGGAACACAGGCGGGCCACGAGAGGGTAAAAGAAGGGTGGTGAACAACATGATGCTATATGGAAGCGAGGTGTGGGGCAGCGCTATTCGCACTAGGAAAGTTAGGGAGTTAGTAGACAGGTTACAAAAAAAAATGGCGCTAAGAATAGCGGCGGCTTGCCGCACTGTATCAAATACAGATCTGTTCGTGGTGGCAAGCACACCCCCACTAAGATTGAAGATCAGCGTGAGGTTCGAGGGTAATAATAACAGGGAGGCCTTAAACGCGTGGGAAGCAGAATGGCACGTCCGGTAGTCGTGGACTAAGTCGGTCATAGGACACCTCTGAACAGGTGGACCAAAAGGAAACACGGCGAAACGAATTATTTCGTCACGCAATTTCTGACGACACGGAGAGAACGGGGTGTAAATACAAAAGAGAGAGCACGATATATGTAAGGACTGCGGAGCGATCAACGACGCTAGACATGGCGTATTATACTGTCCCATATGGGAAGCCGAAAGATGGCGGGCGGTCATTAAAATAGGAGAAATTTTAGAGGAAGGTAATATATTGGTATATCTTGGATTATTGCAGGATTCAGGAAATGATTAGCACTTGTTACACAGTTATTATCGTTATTAAATTATAAGTTTATTGAAAACTATATGAACAATGACTTTCATTATATCTGACATTCAAAAATTACTTTCAGTTACTTGATCCGAATTCACGTATCAATCATTTTAACAAATTATCTTCAACAGTATAATGCTGGAAACGGAGGAGAAGTGGCGAATTATAGAACAATTGATAGTCCAAATAAGAGGCACACGGGAAAGGGAGGCGAAGGCGGAAGTGGGAAACAGACAGGCATAAGAATTTACTAAGAGATCACTCGCGAAGAAATGCCACTGGCGAAGTGGTTTAGTGGATGCGGGCCCCACATTACCTACGCTATAGAGTCAGGCGGAGGTGTGCGATAGGCATTCCACCTCCCCCCCCCCCCAAAGATAACGTATCTGACGAATGCCTCTGCCTGTTGTATGCAGATCGCCACCTTGTTAGTAAAGAATCGCTACACAGACAACCTGTCAGTTGGTCAGTTTGTCAGTAGAGGTCGTTGATGTAGTACTCTAATGGGTATCGCACCCACAATACAGCACTGTTCGTATGGCTGCCTACATACGTATTCTCTCCATTGACTTTTAGATGCTATGTAAACATACTTAGGAATATTCGAGGATAAAAGAAACTTAAAGTGCCATTTGCGTGGGAACCATGGAATTACAAAAAGCAGCCCACTTAATCAAAACGTCGATATGGTTTTATCTTATTTTCCTTATTTTAAAATTATAGTGCAAATATAATAAAAAATGCAACTCGTTACGTGTGCTTTAAAGACGTAGGTACTTATAGGTGCACACTTGTTTTCTCATATAAATGTACTATTGTGGTTTCTGGCATTTCCCTCAAATAGTTTCACGTAGCTCACAATCCCGAAGTATGCCAACGTAAAAGATAAAATTGTCGACTTCAGTTGCATGTTATCTTCTATATCGTAAATTGATAACTTCGGTGAGTAATAGCATTTGCCATCCATTCTCATTAGTTACGACCTAAGGCTGATTTAAACGTGTCGCCGTGAAAAATGATGAAGCCATTATTTCAGTCTGGCCATACTTTACTAGGTATTGCGGCTTTCTTAGGAATCGTAAGTTAATGCACACGTTTTCCGCTTACCTACCTCAATATTAAAAACGTTGGACACTTTTTTGCACTGATGTATGTTTGCTATACTTTCAAAGTCCACGATTAAAACATTTTTTGAGAACCAACATAGACGCAACCGACGCAATTTGGTGAAAATGGACTCAAATTTTGGAAGTACATCGATAGATACTAAACCTTTTAAGTAGATAATCGCTTGATTTGTGTGCCCATTGGTTTCGACCCGATTGACGAGCCATTTCACAACAAGACAATTGTGTGATGCGAATGTCTTGCCATGTTAAAACGAATTGGCACTTTTGAGTAGCTACGATCTGTTTTTAGTTCCAAGGATTGGGATGGACGATTCTGGCAATAATGGGAGTAACGTACCGATTCGTCGAGGTTCCAAAATCGGGTAATACGCTTTTCGCTGTGTTAGAGTCTCTTATAGGTCAAGCATTACAGGGTAAGTAGGTACATCAGAATGAATACAATACACCAAAATAGTGAACCGTTATGAGTGATGAATAGTTTCATTGGCTATGCTAGCCGCTAGATCAAGTCAGTTTGTCAACTAACAAAAGAACTGTAATGGTTAATTTTTAGTTGATAACCTTGCCGTTCCAATGCCAGGCATGGGATTGTTTGTAGTTGTAATTATATACCTGGTGATATCACTAGTCTGGGTTACTCTGTCAACGTTATTAATTTTGAGTAAGTAAACGCACTGTATTTCTCTCATTCCAAGTATTGTATAGGTATAAGACGAGGTCAGCACGATAATCTTAAAAGAGCAACTCTGGCATGGGGAGTGATGACTCTGCTGACTTGCGTTTACGACCTGGTAGTAACCGGGCTGTTGGCTTCTAATTATGACGCAATGCTTACCCTGTTTCATCGTGATATTAAAAAAAACTTCACAATCCTATATTCGGTTATTTTATATGGCATTTTGATGTCTATGGCAGCTCGAGGATATGTTTTATGGGTTATTAATTTCATAATGAGTGTCTTAATGATACGAAATGGAACAAGTAAAGTAAAAGAGGTACTTCAAACTGTAGGTATACAGCGCCACCTCTATAATATTCAAATGTTTTAGATAGATGCGGAAATGTTATTTGACCCCCCACAGATAGAAGACTTCCAAGCAGCTAGGTAAGTTTCTGAACCAGTTTCGATTGCATTTGCAAATGCATTACAGAGATAGGAACCTGGGTCAACATGACCTTTTCAATAGAGAGGATCCGAGGAAGAGAAGGAAGACTAGTTCAGACGGGAACATTACAAAACCTTCGGCACCTCATTACGTGTATCCCTACTCATCAGAATCGACTGAGATCCATATACCTCGCGTGAAGGTCGAAATGAGGAGCTCTACTTCATATCCCCCGCAATTAATTCGAAATAAGAGTATATATTAGTTCCCTAGATATTGCTTTTGTTTTATAAAACCTGCAAACGTGCAGGAATTATCAGTGGCATATTAGTATTATCTACTTCAAACTGAACGAGCGGATGTAGTATAAATAGATAGGTATTATACAAAATAAGTACTTATACATTTTTACAAGTTCTTGTACTCGTTCTTGTATTATGTCGTTTAAGCAATAAATAGTTACATTTGATACTTATTGATTATAAAAAAATTAAGTAAGCTTATACTAAGCTTATACTTTAAAATACTTAAATAAAGGAAGTGTAGTAAAACTTTGGACATTGGACAGCTTAGTGGTGCTCAAATAACAGTAATATTATCGGCTTCTGTCCTTTAAATTGGAAAAACGTGAAGATAACGATGTCGGTTGCAAATTAAGGGTCTATCACTGTCATATGTTATATGTTATACAGAATAGAGAAAGTAGTTGCCGAACGATATTCGCTATGTAACACATCGTTATAACGTTAGAGAATATGTCCCTTAGTCTTTTTTAATGAAGATATAATATTTCGTTTTTGAGTAGGTACGCGTAAGATAATTCGATAGCATAAAAGGTGCAAATTTAACAGGTTCAAAGAATGTGTGGGAGAAGATTGATGGCTTTAGCCTCGGTCTGATTCATGGGGCGTTTTTTAAGGAACAAATGAAAAACTAAATATGCCAGTTTTAATTACCACACCTGAATATAAAAATAGGCATTTATCTACACTAACTAGAAGTTTTTTTTTAATTAGAGAAGAGAGATGTTAAGAGTTGCAATCCCAGCCTCAAAACGCAGTTCCCACTTAAATTTAAAATTAAAACAAAAGAATGGCACATGATCGGATCGTCTAAGGTAGGGCCGCCTTAAGTTACCTACACGAAGATAATACAATGACTCGGGGCTCGGTCGGGCAGGAACACTCAAATAAAACGCTGTAATGTCGGCGAGTTCATTTATTGTAAACTTATTCTGAAAACCCGGGAATTTGGATGTGGTACATTAAAAGCAAAGCACTCTCGCAAAAGCAGAATGCAAGGCAAGGGGAAAAAGAGCGCGACTAGAAAAAAACCTCCGCATTAAATAAAACCCAAGTTATCTTAATCACAAGCAAATTAAATCACCAAACACCTAAGCAGGACACTGGCTTAATTAATGAATGTATATGGGCTAGTTCAAGTAGCAGGAGACGTTTGACGAGTATGCGTAGAATATTCGTCACAACATGTCCTTTAATCGCGACTAGAAGGCAACTCACTTTTTAGTTAGTCATTGGATAATGAACCTTGTTATTTGATAGGTTTGGGCCAGCGTATTCGCTTGGTACCCTCTCATTTCACGCTTATATTGTTAGGGATTGGGCTGGCATGTTTGCCTATTAACCCGTTACCGCAGTTAAAATTGTTAGAGGCAACCCATTCATGCATTTATTATATGTATAATTATATATATCTAGTTATGATAATACAGTGTACTTGTGGAGCCCCCAGTTATGCTCAGTTTCCACGTAATGACGTTGGTATGAACCCCAGACCTCCGTAACTACTACCTGTGCCTCGTAACAGTGTAACACTCCCCTGACATTGGTCCCGTAAAAACATAACACTCTAGACGGTTAAGAGATGGGTCGCCGCCCATGGGAAAGGCGGTCTTCGGTTACGGATAGTACGCCCTTAAAGTTGAAGGTTCGAAGACCCTCGGATCCTTTCGTGACTTAACTCTAGGATACATTTCTACAGTGCGATCAATATTGAGTTGCTGCACCGCTTCAATAAATTATGACGTTAGTAATCATTTGCCGCAACAGGCCTGGTGCACCAATACTAAAACATAACCTTAAAGTAAACTTTTGACGTTTAACCATATTTAACCTAAATCAACGATTTAACCACCTTGTAAGTTTCCAAATTATGTGGAACTACACGAATAGCAAATTACTACAAAAATTGAAACGATTTTATTTCCTTTACAACTCGTTAATATCGAAGTAATTGGGTAAATTACATGCACACTATAACAACTGTTCGAAGTGCTCGCCACCATTATTAAGACAGGGATTCACTCTTTTCTTCATGTTTTCGAAGCCGGCATGTAAGTGCTGTTGCGTAATGTTTCAAACGGCAGCTTCTATACCTGCTCGGAATTCGGCAATGGTGTGTAAACGATTTCGAATACGTTGCCATCTCGTAAATTTGCATGCAATAATTTAGACGGCTTTGCAAGTCTGGACGATGAGTTCTTGTAACACGGTTACTTTAAAGGATAGAAGTACAATTTTCTCCAGGCAATAGCGTCACACGTTCCGTATGAGATGCCCGTTAGTGGGACAAATTGTTGCAGCTGCTTTTTCCGACTTTGCTCAAGACGATCAGCAAGAACATCTTTTACAACCTCCTTATTAGCAATCACTAAGCGGCCAGGTGACTTCCCAGAAGCAAGACTTCCTGTATGTTAAACCGCTCAAGTAGACGATGAGCATTTCGGCGTATATTGTTGTAATCCTCGTCATGGTTGACAATCGTTTATCGAAACTCCTGTATACACAAACGTATCGAGTACTCCCAAACTCCACTTTCGTCTTTAGTCCTCATTACGGAAACAGGACAGCAAACGCATCTTATTCTCTTCTAAAGTAAAAGGCTTGTCGGAGTAAACCTATTGCCTATTACACGCTACAACTAATAAAACGTTAGTTTGTAATTTACAAGTAATTTACCCACCTTGTAAATATTCGAAAGAAACTGGTAGTCTTGAAAAAAGCCGTTTTGAAAGGAACGAAAGTATTCGAATAAGAATCACAAATCATGGTTTTGGTTTGTAAAATTATAGGTTATGTTTTGTATTGGTACACGCATATACCTGGTTGCGGCAAATGATTACTAATGTGATATTTTATAAGAGCGGCGCAGCATATGATTATTGATCTCCCTGTATTCTAGCGTCCGAACTCCCTCTCACGGTAGGAAGATGTTGTTACATACAAGGCACAACATTCGTGAATGTTACAAGTCTCCCTAACCTAAATACCAACACCTAGCATTGCTGGTCCTACTGCACGAAAGTCGAGGTTCACATAGGTACACACATGAGCACCGTGTAGTTAAACATGGTATAAACCTGAGATGTCATAGACTTCCACAAGCACATGGACATTAGTTAGCAATTAGCATCTTGTAAATTACATATTAGTTCATGTTAGATGGAAAATACTTGATATAACCAGGTTGCACAATTCATACAGATACATATTAGCAAACATGCCTTACCTGATATCAAAGTAGCTGAATATCTTAAACACAAACACAAGAACAAAGCAAAAACTCTATGAATATAACTCAGAATGCAATATTTACGCTAACAACAAGCTTTCATCACAGCATACCCAGAACAGCATGAAAACTCACTAGCGCGGGAAAATTTTGCGCAACTAATCGCGCATCCTGCCATCTTGGTATAGATTTATCATGGGCGTAGTCAATTTGTTGTTTGCGCGATTCATTATTTCTTTCCTAGCAGTGGCGTAGTAATCTTTGTATATGAATCTGTGTGGTGAGCTTTTGTGGCTGTAATAATGGAAACGAAGATTCTGATTACCGAACCCATAAATTGTTGGAAACTAATTATGTTCGTTACATTTGTGGATACTTAATGCAAAAAGCATTAGGAAAACACTCTTGCTACATATGTACGCAGTATGCAAAAGCATATGAAAACCTGGACGACACCTCTTTGTATTGCTACTTTAAGGCATATGACAATGAAAACGTAGACCGGTCACTTTCGGCAGTTTGAAAATGCCGCATGATAATTTTGTGAGTAATTGCATTAGTAGAAGTAATTTTCCAAAAAAGATTTGAAGAGTGTATATTATCCAATAATGTTGTACATAATTTTATTTACATACTACTCCACAATACTCTCCACAAGTGAAATATTCACACCCTTGCAAACACTTTCCATTGCAATATGTTTTAAAACTTTACATTCGGACCCGATTGTTTTATACACTAAAAATTATAAATAGGAATTTTAAAACAAATAACACTCAAAAACTTATTATCTGGCGCCACCAATAAAGTTTATTCTATCTCACATTGTTCTTTTCCTACCTTAAAAAAACAGTGCATCGATATACAAATCTACTACTTGATACGGTCCTGTTGATACCTATACCAAGCTGTCACCATTTATATTAAATTTTCTGAATACGGCTCTGCCTTTTATACCCTTAGAGAAATAGTCTAAGTTTATACCAATGCAAATGGCGCAAGGTCAAATTTAGAGAACAAAATTTTACAGGAGGTTCTGGCTATGCTGTGCTTTCATTACAACAATCAACATTTGGCGCCAAAAAAATCAACAGGTGGTGACGGCGGTGGTTCATGTCCCTAGCATCTCTAACTAATCGACTGGTCGCACCCGACGATGAAATATACTAGGTATTTGAAGGGATATAGACATCTCGAACGTGACGTTTAAGATTCTATTGTTTCACAAAGCACTCATGGGAGTTGACATTAGAATCAAATAAAATCGGTTACGCCAGATCTATGTGAGATCAGGAGATTATAAGTACTGTGATGTTGAAGATCCGAAGACTTAGCAGGGTCCCACCCCTGAGACTTGTCCCTCGTGCGGGACAAGAAAGCCTACAGTTGGGATTCGAGGTTAATAACAGTCACTATTTTGGTTACAGTAGTCCCATAGGCCATATCTCTGGAATTACTTGTTTACGGCGAAAACTGTTAGCTTACATATACAAGTCCATATAAACATCAAACAATTGGATAATTTCCAGAATTTAAATTAATGACTTCACTGTAAAATGTGCCTTAATGTTGTAGGTAAATTACTGTAATAGGTCACATCTCTGGCATAGGTACTGATTTAAATTCGCTGCAAATTGTAATGATAGATGAACTAAACATGATCTCAGTTCAAGGAATAGAGTAATTAAAAATTAGGTAGGTACCTATTTTAAATGATACGTGGTTTAGTAGGTACCAGTGATTTTATAATACAAATTCTGTAAAGATTTCGCTTTGTACAGTCCCCAATGCCGCATTTATTGCCGTATGCACCGAAAAAATGTAGGCTGAGCTTAGCTTATCCATGGCAACCATTGTCCCAATAATCGTTACCATGGATATTAATTAATGAGCAGTAGGTACTCAAACTATCATTAATAAATTAACGTGATAGGAGGG